GAAGTATGGACATCTTAACTATGTTAATTCTTCCAATCCAAGAGCACGGAATATCTTTCCATTTCTTTGTGTCTTCTTCAATTTCTTTAAGCAATGTTTTATAGCTTTCAGGGAAGTTTTTGATTACTATTTCAATCTCTTTACTTGTGATTGGTCTATTCAGATTCTTTATCTCTTTTTGGTTCAGTTTTGGGAGGTTGTATGAGTCTAATGAGTCTAAGAATTTATCCATTTCTTCTAGAGTGTCCAATTTGTTGGCATATAGTTTCTCATAGTATTCTCTTCTAATCCTTTGTATTTCCACGGTATCTGTTGTAATTCCTTCTCTTTCATTTCTAATTTTATTTATTTGAGTCTTTTATCTTTTGTTCTTAGTAAGTCTGGCTAAGAGTTTGTCAATTTTGTTTATCTTCTCAAAGAACCAACTCTTTGTTTCATTAATCCTTTCTGCTGTTTTTTTGGTCTCAATTTCTTTTATTTCTGCTCTGATTTTTTTATTTCTCTCCTGCTGACTTTGGGCTTTGTTTGTTCTTCTTTTTCTAGTTCTGTTAGGTGTAATTTAAGGTTATTTATTTGGGCTTTTTCTTGTTTGTTAAGGTGGGCTTGTATTGCTATGAGTTTCCCTCTCAGGACTGCTTTTGCTGCATCCCATATGAATTGGTATGGCATACTTTCATTTTTGTTTGTTTCCAGATATTTTTTGATTCTCCTTTAATTTCATCAATGATCCATTGGTTGCTCAGTAGCATGTTGTTTAATCTCCACATCTTTGTCACTTTCCAAGTTTTTTTCTTGTGGTTGATTTCCAGTTTCATAGCATTATGGTCTGAAAAAATGCTTGTTATGATTTCAATCTTCTTGAATTTATTGAGGTTTGCCTTGTTTCCCAACATATGGTCCATCCTTGAGAATGTTCCATGTGCACTTGAGAAGAAGGTGTAGTCAGCTGTTTTTGGATGGAGTGCTCTGTATATGTCTACCAGGTCCATCTCGTCCAGTTTTTCATTTAATTCCACTGTTTCTTTATTGATTTTTTGTCTGGATGATCTACCCATTGATGTAAGTGGGGTATTAAGATCCCCTACTATTATTGTGTTGTTGTTAATGTCTCCTTTTAGGTTTGTTAATAGTTGCTTTATGTACTTTGGTGCTTCTATGTTGAGTGCATATATATTTATAGTTGATATGTCTTCTTGGTGGAGTGTCCCTTTTATCACTATATATTGCCCTTCTTTGTCTCTCTTAACCTGTCTTATCTTGAAGTCTACTTTGTCTGATATGAGTATGGCAACACCTGCTTTCTTTTGTTTGCCATTAGCTTGTAGTATTGTCTTCCATCCTTTCACTCTGAGCCTGTTCTATTTTTAATTTTTGGAGGAACATCTATACTGTTTTCCATAGTGGCTGTATCAATTTACAATCTCACCAAAAGAGTACTAGGGTTCCCTTTTCCCCACATCCTCACCAACATTTGTTATCTTTTGTCTTTTTGATGATAGCCATTCTAACAGGTGTGAGATGATATCTCGTGATTTTGATTTGCATTTCCCCAATGATTAGTGATGTTGAGCACCTTTTCATGTACCTGTTGTCCATTTGCAGGTCTTCTTTGAAAAATCTCCTTTCAGGTCTTCTACCCATTTATAATTGCATTGTTCGTTTTTTTGGCTAATCAGTTATCTAAGTCGCTTATATACTTTGGATATTAACTCGTTATCAGATATATGGTTTGCAAATATTTTCTGCCATTTCGTAGGTTGCCGCTTCATTTGTTGATGGTTTCTTTTGCTGTGCAGAAGCTTTTTAGTTTGATGTTGTCCCACCTGTTGATTTCTGCTTTTGTTGCTTGTTCTTTTGGTCTAACATCAAAATACTGTTGCCAAGACCAATCTCAAGGAGTTTTTTCCCTGTAATTTCTTGTAGGAGTATTGAGGTTTCAGATCTCATATTTAAGTCTTTAATTCATTTCAAGTTAATTTGGTTAATGATATAAGATCTGAGTCCAATTTCATTCTTGCATGTAGATATCCAATTTTTCAGCACCATTTATGAAGAGACTCTCATTTCCCCATTGAGTATTCTTGGCCCCTTTGTCAAATATTAGTTGTCAATATATATGAGTGTTTATCCAGGCTCTTGATTCTGTTTCATTGGTATATGGTCTGTTTTAATGTCAGTACCATCATGTTTTTATTGCTATAGCTTTGTATTATAGTTTGAAATCAGGAAGTTGATGCTTCCAGCTTTGTTCTTCTCTCTCAGGATTGTTTTGGCTGTTCAGGCTATTCAAACAAAAACAATTGTTTGTTGTATGAAACAAATTTTAGGATTTTTTTTCTATTTTTTGGGAAAAATGTCATTGGGATATTGATAGAGATTGCATTGAATCTATAGATGGCTTTAGGTAGTATCAACGTTTTAAAAACATTAACTCTTCCAATTCATGAACCCAGGATAGCATTCCATTTATTTGTGCTTCTTCAATTTCTTTCATCAAAGTGTTATAATTTTTAGTGTTTAGGTCATTCTCAACCTTGTTTAAATTTTCCCAAATATTCTATTGTTTTTGATGCTATTGTGAATGGGACTGTTTTCTTTATTTCTTTTTCAGATATTTCATTGTTATGGTATAGAAATGCAACTAATTTTATATGTTGATTTTGTATCCTTCAACTTGACTGCATTCAGTTATTAGTTCTAACAGTTTTATGGTTGAATCTTTAGGATTTTCTGTATGTAAAATCACATCACCTGCAAACAGAATATTTTACTTTTTCCTTTTCAATTTGGATGCCTTTTCTTTCTTTTTCTTGCCTGATTGCTCTGGCTAGGAATTCCAGTACTAAGTTGAATAGGAGTGGTGAGAGTGGGCACCTTGTTCCCCATCTTAAATGAAAACTTTTTAAACTTTCACCAATGAATGTGATGTTAGCTATGGGCTTGTCATAGATGGTCTGTATTATGTGGAGTTATGCTCCTTCTGTACCAAATTTGTTGAAAGTTTTTATCATGAAAAGATGTTGAACTTTGTCAAATGCCTTTCTGCATCTATTAAGAGTATCATGCAAATTTTATCCTTCATTTTGTTAATGTGATGTATCACATATATAGATTTATCTATGTAGAACCATCCTTGCATTGCACGGATAAATCCCAATTGATCATAGATTATGATCTTTTAATGTGCTGTTGAATTTGGTTTGCCAGTATTTTGTTGAGAATTTTTTTTGTGTGTGAGGAAGATCAGCCCTGAGTTAACATCCGACGCCAATCCTCCTCTTTTTTGCTGAGGAAGACTGGCCCTGGGCTAACATCTGTGCCCATCTTCCTCTACTTTATATGGGATGCCGCCACAGCATGGCCTGACAAGCAGTGCATCAGTGAGCACCGGGATCCAAACTGGTGGACCCCAAGCTGCCGAAGCAGAGCACATGCACCACCAGGCCGCCCCTTGTTGAGACTTTTTGCATCAATTTTCATCAGGGATGTTGTTCATCAGGCTTATAGTTTTCTTTTTGAATAGTGTCCATATCTGGTTTTGTTATCAGGGTATGCTTGTCTTGTAAAATGAGCTTTGGAGAGTTCCCTCCTCTTCAGTTTTTTGGAAGAGTTTGAGAAGGATTGGTATTAATTCTTTAAATGTTTGGTAGAATTCACCAGTGAAACCATCCAGGTCTGTACTTTTCCTTGATGGTTGTTTTTTATTACTGATTCAATCTCCTTATTGTTATAAGTCTGTTCAGATTTTCTATTTTTTCATGATTCAGTCTTGGTAGGTGGTATGTTTCTATGAATTTATCCATTTCTTCCAGGTTATCCAATTTGTAGGCTTATAACTATTCATAGTATCTTTTATAATAAGATAGTATTATATAATATATATAAAAAGATAGTAGCTCTTATATCTCTTATAATGTTTGTATTTCTGTTATATCAGTTGTAATGGCTCTTCTTTCATTTCTGACTTTGCCTTCTTTCTTTTTTTCCTAGTTAGTCTAGCTAAAGGTTTGTCAATTTTGCTCACCTTTTCAAAAAAACACCTCTTATCAACATTGATCTCTTTATTGTTTTTCTGGTCTCTATCTCATTTATTTCTGCTCTGATCTTTATTTCCTTACTTACATCAACTTTGGCCTTACTTTTTTCTTCTTTTTTTAGTTCCTTGTGGTGAAAAGTTAGGTTGTTTATCTGCTATCTTTCTTTTTTTATAATGCAGGTGTTTAATGCTATAAATCTCACCTTTAGAACTGCTTTTGTATCATTCCCTAGGTTTTGGTGTTTTGTGTTTCCATTTTCATTCATTTCAAGAATTTTTTTAATTTTACATTTTATTTCTTCTTTGACCCATTGGTTGTTCAGGAATACATTGTTTAATTTCCACATATTTGTGAATTTTCCAGTTTTTACTCAGTTATTGATTTCTTGTTGCATACCATTGTGGTCAGAAAAGATACTTGGTAAAACTTAAATCTTCTTAAATATACTGAGACTTGTTTTGTGACCTGTCATATGATCTATCCTGAAGAATGTTGTGTATGCACTTGAGAAGAATGTGTATTGTGCTGCTGTTGTATGGAATGCTCTCTATATGTCTGTTAGGTCCATTTGGTCTAAAGTATAGTTCAAGTTCAATGTTTCTGTATTGATTTTCTGTCTGGATGATCTATCCATTGTTGAAAATGGAGCATTGAAGTCTCCTACTATTATTGTATTGTTGTCTATTTCTCCCTTCCTATCTGTTAGTATTTGCTTAATATATTTAGATGTCTGATGTTGGGTGCATATATATTTATGATTTTTATATCCTCCTGATGAATTCATCTCTTTATCATTATATAGACCTTTGTTCCTTGTTACTGCTTCTGAGTTTGTCTATTTTGTGATATAAATATAGCTATCCCTGCTCTAATTTGGTTTCCACTTGCATGGAATATCTTTTTCCATTCTTTCACTTTGACTGTACATGTCACTTTGACCCTACTTTAAAACTGAAGTAAGTCTCCTGTAGGCAGCATATTTTGGTCTTTTTTTTTTTTTTTTAATGTCCATTCACTCACTCTATGCCTCTTGATTGGAGAATTTAATCCATTTACATTTAAAATAATTATTGGTAAGTAAGGACTTATAATGCCATCTTATTAATTGTTTTCTGGCTTTTATAGTTCCTTTGTTCCTTTCTTGCTGTCTTCCTTTGTGAGTTATGACTTTCCACAGTACTATGCTTTGATTTCCTTCTCTTTATCTTTTATGTATCTACTGTAGGTTTTTGCTTTCTGGTTATCGTGAAGCTTACATAAAATGTTTTATAGCTATAACAATATATTTTACACTGATAACAACTTAGCTTTGATCACAATCAAATACTCTGTATTTTACTTTCCCACATTTTTTCTCCTGTTTTATTGAGATATAATCGACATACAGCACTGTATAAAATTTAAGGTATAGATCATAATGATTTGACATACATATATTGTGAAATTATTGGCACAATAAATTTAATTAACATATATCATCTCATACAGATACAAAAAAGAAAGAAAAAAATGTTTTTTTTCCTTGTGATGAGAACTTTCTTAACAACTTTAAATATACTATACAGTAATGTTAACTATAGTAATCATGTACATTATATTCCTAGTACTTATTTATCTTGTAACTGGAAGTTTGTATCTTTTGACCACCTTCATCAGTTCCTCCTCCCCCCATTTTTCTGGCATTGGCAACCACAAATCTGCTCTCTTTTTATATGAGTTTGGTTTTTTTCTTAGATTCCACATGTATGTGAGATCATACAGTATTTGTCTTTCTCTGTCTGACTTATTTCACTTAGCAACATGCCCTCAAGATCCATTCGTGTTTTCACAAATGGCAAGATTTTCTTCTTTTTAATGACTGAATAATATATAATAATACATAATTATATATATATAGATATCTATCTATCTATCTATCTATCTATCTATCTATATATATATATATAAAACAACTTCTTTATCCATTCATCTGTTGATGAACACTTAGCTTGTTTCCATATCTAGGCTACTGTAAATAATGCTGCTTTGAACATGGGGGTACAGATATCTCTTTGACATATTTTTGTTTCCTTCGGATATATAGTCATGCATAGCTTAATGATGGGGAGACGTTCTGAGAAACGTGTCAGGCAATTTTGTCATCGTGCAAACACCATAGAATGTACTTACACAAAACCTAGATGGTATAGCCTACTACACACCTAGGCTGTATGGTATACCCTATTGCTCCTAGGCTACAAATCTGTACAGCATGTTACTGTGCTTAATGCTGTAGGCAATTGTAACACAATGGTAAGTATTTGTGTATCTAAACATAGAAAATGAACAGTAAAAATACAGTATAAAAGATAAAAAATGGTACACCTATATAGGGCACCTACCATGAATGGAACTTCCTCTGGGTAAGTCAGTGAGTGAGTGGTGAGTGAATGCAAAGGCCTAGGACATACTGTACACTGCCATAGACTTTATAAACACTGAACACTTAGGCTACACTAAATTTAAAAAAACGTTGTTCTTTCTTCAATAATAAATTAACTTTAGCTTACTGTAACTTTTTTACTTTATAAACTTTTAAATTTTTTAAACTTTTTGACAATTTTATAATAATTTTTAGCTTAAAATACAAATTGTACAGTTGTATAAAAATATTTTTTCTTTATATCCTCATTCTATGAGCTTTTTTCTATTTTTTAAATTATTTTATTGAGGTCATAATAGTTTATAACCTTGTGAAATTTCAATTGTACATATTATTTGTTATTCACCACATATATGTGCTCCTTTAACCCTTATGCCCACCCCCAACCCCCTTCCCCTCTGGTAACCATTAATCTGTTCTTTTTGTCCATGTGTTTGTTTATCCTCCACATATGAGTGAAATCACGAGGTGTTTGTCTTCCTCTGTCCGGGTTATTTTGCTTAACATAATACCCTCAAGGTCCATCCATGTTGTTGCAAATGGGATGATTTTGTCTTTTTTTATGGCTGAGTAGTATTCCATTGTGTATATATATATCACATCTTCTTTATCCATTCATCTGTTGTTGGACACTTAGGTTGCTTCTTTTTTTTTTTTTTTGTGAGGACGATCAGCCCTGAGCTAACATCTGCCAATCCTCCTCTTTTTCCTGAGAAAGACTAACATCCGTGCCCATCTTCCTCTACTTTATATGGGACACCGCTACTGCATGGCTTGACAAGCGGTGCATCAATGTGCGCCTGGGATCCAAACCCTGGGCTGCCGCGGCGGAGCATGTACACTTAACTGCTATGCCACAGAGCCAGCCCCCTAGGTTGCTTCTAAGTCTTGGCTATTATGCATAACACTGCAATGAACAGTGCATGCATCTTCTTGAATTAGTGTTTTCATGTTTTGGGGATCAATATCCAGAAGTGGAATAGCTGGATCATATGGTATGTGATTTTGAAATCAGGGAATGTGATACCTCCAGCTTTTTTCTTTTTTCTCAAGATTGCTTTGGCTATTTGGAGTTTTTTTTGTTCCATATAAATTTTAGGATTCTTTGTTCTATTTCTGTG